ATATTTCTTTTCTTTTTGATTGCCAATTCTTTTTCTTGTGTTCATTAGAGAAAGAAAAAAATCCAATTTACATCTTCCAATCAATTACATTTATAAATCTAATTCCCTTTTAAAAGCTCATGCTGCATTAGTCAATATTGAAATTATCTTGACAATAATAAACTCACATTGTCAAATACAGACAACATCCCTCCTAATCAAAGGAACATTCGCACACACCTTCCTCAAAATAAGGTTGCTTGTCAAAACCTCTTAATGACTGCTGAAACTCTATAATTGATGATAGCAAACCAGTAAAGATTATAGTGACAAATTCAGAGAAGATAATAATGACAGATTAAATGAAGATAATGGAGGACCGGGAAAACTCTATTGAATGTCACCACTAAATTAAGCGCCTGATCATATTAATGTGAATCTTGAAAGTTGATTGGTTGGTTTTTTCTGTTTAGGAAATAATTTATGATAATTAACCAAAAATGGGCTAGTCAGTAACCCATATGGCGTGATCTTTTTCCTTATTTGGATTTAAATGTACTTTCAAATCATATTGTTGGTGGTGACATTTAATAGAGTTTCTCCGGTGATAATAATGACCAACCTATCAAAAAAAAACAAATTGATGATGCAATTATCTATGAAGAATGTAAAAATTTTACATTTGAATTGGAAACTAGAGAGGTTTGGAGAATCTGATAATGGAGAAAGATGGAAAGTACTTATGGAGAAGCTCTGATGTTTCTAATGTGTGGATGATTATTTAAAAATCAAGCACAGTTTCCACCTCAAACCTCAAATGAAATAGATATATTGTAGTAGCATAAAGCAAAAAAAGGCAAAACTTCATTTAATTTTTAATTGTCAATCTGTGAATGAATCAGAAAGACCCTCAAATCTGTGTTTCCTACATAGAAAAGTCTTTATTAATCACATAACTATGTTAATTTTTAGATAAAATTTATTTTTTGAGATTAATTTTATTCATACATAAATAATATTATCATGTGGCACAAAAAGAATAATACATTTTTGTGTAAAGGTTGACAATTGGCAATTTTTTGTGACATTTTGCACCAAAATTTACTATTAAAAAATGCAGATCTTTCTCTGATTCACCTTTTGAGTAAATATTTAGCCTTTTCTTCTTGGCAAGCATTGTAATGTAAACCATTTCGAAAATGTCACACAAGTCAGTTCTTGGACTCATAATTTGAATCTCTGATGTCATAATTTTCTGAAGGCATCACACTTCAAAGATTTCAATTTGCTATCTTCTTCTAGACCAGCCAGAAAATACGGGTACGTATTACTTTTACCGACAACACGCGACGCGCCATTTTAGCATTTTTATTAGATGTTTTGATTATGTGGAGGTTAAATGTAAACCCCTAGTTGTCGGTAAAAAATGAACTGTTGGTAAAATGAATGCCTCCCGAAAATAACAGATTTATGACCCATTTCAGCTGGTAAGAATGTAGCTGATTGAGTTATTCTATTGTTACTTCTCCCTGGGCTTGGCAAACCATGAACTTCAGCATAATTTTCCAGAAAA